GATATAAGGTATAAGGTATAATCGAAGTTGATATAGATATAGGTAAATATAACATTATGGCCAACCCCCCTTAATGGGGCGTGCAAAATGGTCAATTGAACACGTAATTAATCAACTCCTGCTCAATAATAGTCATATTATTTGTTTATTGGGTCAATTGGGCCTAGATTATGATGATGATTATGATTCATAATTGTATGAATGTGTGACAAAAAAAAACACCATTAAGGAGAAAATTTCACATTTTCGGTTAGCATCACAATTAGGGGCACCCGTATTCAGGAAACAAGCCTTTTGAGGGAACATTTTTTTGATTCCGAAAGTGTCCCCTTAATACTAGGGTTCTACTGTATACATATGTCTGCAAATCTGAATACAATTTATATTAATTGACCTGTTATTTTTTTTTACGGATCGGTCGTTTTTAATTTCTTTCTGTTGTACTTCTGTCAATATTATAAATGATGAATTGATGAGATTTTCTCATCAGTATTCATGAAAATTATCAAATAGATTAAAAAATACAAAAACAAATCTGGATCAAATACATAACTGCGAGTATATAATACATGATTATATATTTATACTTATAGATAGGCGTTCCTAGATTGGTAATCCCTATGTTGGCAATCAGGTAATAAAGACTAATAATACATAGATTATTTATCGCCCAAACGATAGCCATGCCTTCTGGTAAATATCTATAGGTCATAATCTGACCTTAATAATCGTTTAACGCCTACTAGGCTCGCTACTAGGTAATAGCATGGACAGTCTGCGTTAACCTTTTTGTTCAACTTTCTCCTTAACAAGTTAACAAGTGTTTATTTGCCAATTAACGTGTTCAGACTCTGATAGCAGATACTAACATTCCAAAATTATTGGCTTTCAGAATGCAGCTATATATCATTAGGTCTGTATGTAATAATGAATCATACGATTTATAATCATTAACAATGTTGGCATGTACGCTACGAGATGATTGGCCATGGTCTTAAATCACAGTATATAATATTTTAAAGGGACACGGTAAAATGAATTCGGATAAAAAAAAATCCCTTGCTATGTTACCATTAGGAAATTTAGGTTAGGAGACAAAACAACAGACATCACGGTGGAAGTATGAATGTCAGTGCAAATGACGTAAGGTCCCTTGGTAGAAATTTTGCCTCGCTGGCCTTTTCTTGTACTTTATTGTTAATTTACCGTTAAATCGATAATAGGCTGAAAACATAACTTAGGCCTATTTGTTTTGGGATTGAAACTAAGTTTTATGTATAATTATTTCAAGAATTACAATTAACCTCAAAATGTGAATGGAATGTCTTGGTTTAAATAAACAATTTGTTGTTGACTGAATATGATTTGAGTATGGGAAACACTTTGGCATATGGCCGCATGACCCGTAACGTTTGTAAAAACACACTGAAAATCAAAATAAAATTAGCAAAATAAGTTAAAGTGGCAATATATAGGGCGCGACCGTGTTCCATTTATTGCTCGTTGATAGTTGTTTCAGCATAAACATCCTGAAATATAAACGATATTATAACAAAAAAAAATCAGTAGATGATCTACAATGGTTAGGTCTACTTCCATAAAGATAGACACCCGTGGGAATAGTTACACATTTATAAGTTTTGATATACTGTACTATTGAACATACTTTACAAACGAACGTCCACTTAATGCATCAGACAGTACACACCCTCAGTCGACTCCACATCCTGTACATGTATTAATAATATTTTGAACAACTACAACAAAACTTGATTGTTTAAACACGTAGGGATAACATTTTCATAACAATCCAAACAAGAAAACCATCAGCAAACAGGGCGGGAATAACACGAGGCTCTGTAGACAGGGGGAGTTACTGCGGAACTGCTTCTCTAGTTTAAAAAAATTCTTGTTTAAAATCATCCAACGATGCTAAGCGTATAGAGGTACCCCTCCCCCCTACAGTACAGACGTTTGCTGGGCAACAACGTGATTGAACCTTCCTTCACAGGTTTTCATGTATTGGCATATTGTTAGCTAACAAGTTGTGTGTATTTCTTTGTGAAAATGAGTACCGTGGCGTACTCATTTTCACAAAGCATTTGCATCCCCTCTTGGAAAGAGGGAACTTCGAAATAATTGTCTCCATATCTTCGCTAATTAAATTAATCACCGTAATTTAATAGCTTACACTTGTGAATTTAGCTAGCGCTTAAAATGTACAATCATTTCACCACCCGACAAACTCCGAACTTTATTCATTTGGCCTACATAATAGTTTCATCTTGCTGTACTATTATACTCCAACATCACTGGCGCATGGTAACAATCAACTGATGCAGACCATTTCCGGTCACACATTACTTTCCATTTTAAACCTCTGGTTTAAAATCATCTATCAAAGTGTGATTAGATTATGCATAATAGGAACGGTTTGAAGCAGTGGCTGCGGTTCTGCTTATCAACCTTGAGATCGGAGGTTCAATCCGCTGTGTATTGCGCTTGTGTCCTTAGGCATAGGGGAGTAAAATGAGGCTCTTTAGACGGGGGGGGGGGGGGTTCTAGTAAAATGAGGCTCTTTAGACGGGGGGGGGGGGTTTCTGCGGAACTGCTTCTCTAGTTTCAAAAATAAAAAATAAATAATGAATAAAAAATTAAAACTATATATTATTATATGTTTGATTATACATATAGGAGCGATATGACGCAGCGGCTTGAGGTCGGAGGTTCAATCCGCTGTGTATTCCGCTTGTGTCCTTAGGCAACGTACTTTACCTACGGTTTTCACTCTCCACCCAGTAGTAAACGTGTGTACTTGGCAGGTTTAAACACAAAAATGCGCTGACTACAGCAGCAATGGAATTATCCGAAGGGACCTGAGTATGGGTTCCATAATGTGCTTGATCCAACGACCGGGGGTAATAGGCCTAATGCTAAGCGTATAGAGGTACCTACAATATGCGAAAAGACATCCTGTATTTTACCTTGTATCATAGGTGTATATTATTATCAATTCCATTTAGAAATTACTTTGGATCACTCCTGATTAAGGAGAAACTTATTTTAACTTTCTGGCTGACGTAGACTAAGTTGTAGGCCTATGTCCATAATTATTATACCTCTAATGTAATAAGGAAATATCCGTAATTCATCCTGAAGATGACCAAATTGAATTCCTCACTGAAGCCTGTCAAAACTTGGAGCCAATAGTTGCTCTAGGAATGGCGCCAGGGTTTTGTTGGCGAGGCGTCCCCGACAAGAGCACAAGTGGGTGTGGAATGGGAAAACCAGAACCACTGGAAGAATGTCAGAAGACAAAACCCCAAAAGCTTAGGGATTTGAAAGTCTCATTTAATCGATTCTCACAAACTGTAGTAAACAGAATGTTTTTTCACCCCGACCTGACAATTTGTAGTTCTTTCCGACGGCCGACGGGAGACAGCTTTCCCTGACCCACTCCCTCTCCCAATGGCACCACCCCTGACTTATACTATAGAAATTAGACCGTATATTGTAAACTTACCCTGAGTAACGATCTCCCACAATAAAACACCGTACGACCAAACATCGCTCTTGGATGTGTATATACCTTCAAAAATAGCTTCGTATGCCATCCACCGAACGGGCAGTCGGGCCTATGTGAATAAGTAATAATAAACCATTATTAGTGCAAACGTGTGCGAGCAAAAAATATTAGAGGCGGTTTTATAAATATAAGAATACAGATAGTGACCGTTGACACATAGGCCTAGGCCCTATTAGTAAAGCGCCAAGTTGTCAGTCGAAAAACGAGGTAGAGGATGTAAGGGTGAGGAAACGGCACTTGGTTGAAAATACTCTAATAAACTTATGATCAGGCTATACAGCTATGATATAACATTGAATACTACAAGGATAACGCGACAAGTTTTGAACTAAATGTGATTTTCATTTTATCTCTTCAATTATATTTGACATTTGTGTCCACCAGGCTAATCATACGCGTGTTGTTTTAATATAAGATACTATAAAAAGAGGGCTGTTTCTCTAGTTGAATAATTTACCAAATTCTTAGCATGTTATGATAGTAACAATGTAACATATTTTCACAAAGTCAGGCTTTTTTTTCAGAACTAAACGCTTTATATTCACGCGTAAAGGGAACCGGGATGTTAAATTCCAAAGTGTTATTGGCCTAAAGATCTTTGTTGCGAAATAATCTTAATTTTTCATTGTCACTAAATACCTGTGGTGATTTTTCTGGTGTTAGTTCCGATTTATGATATATGTGTTTTTATTGTTATTGGTTATGAACTCAATAAATCAGTGGCATTAGCAGAAATGAGTTAGACAACATGAACAAACCACAACATTATTATGAAGATGTATTAAATTAAATAATAATAGACCTATGTGGAACTATTTGCAAAGCTATAAAAAAAATATTAAGTAGCGTAAAGGTATTGTCTAGTTAATTACGTTAGAGAAAGTGGGGTGTTCCCAAAAGCAATGACGATCGAATACCTCAAAATCCCTGAGAGAGTATCGATGATAGATGGCGTTCTTTGACTGAACATTGAATACAACCACAAACCATGTAGGTATAATACCTTCATGCACAGACTATTCGGAAGAAATCAAAACACATGACTGGCTCTCGTAAGTTTCTGATGTAGGTCTTGCAGAATTAACATGTTATTCACAATCTGTCAAAATTTATTCACACTTTTTTCCTAAACAGTGTGCTTCATTGTGCACGACTGACAAAGAGGCCTAGTTATAAGAACAGTTGAGATGAAACTGTTATGAGTAAGGTGTTCCATTTCATATTATTCAGGAATTAAAATCAAGAAAATAATCAATCAACACATTTCTTATACAAAACAAAAACAACGTACAGAAATAAAATGGGAAAACAGATATTAATTCCTAGAATTACCCAAGAAAGTCTTGGTGGAATCCCTGTGAACATATTACATTCCCAACAAAGTTACGAAAAAAAAACAGTGTGATAAGTATAAGATAACTAAGTATAACAAATACTCCAAAATAAGGACAATCTAGACATTATGAGTCGATACTATGATATTTATTTGATTTTCATCATCAGGAATATAGAGTAATCTAAAATATGATTACGAAGTTTGAAAATTGCTTACTTTGATGGATGGGTCTACGTGTTTTTGAAGGGCGACCTAGATATTTCAAAGCATGTTATAATTGACAAATATTCAGATTACTTATTTCTGTTTAAATTTGCTCTAAATTGCAAATAAAAATGATGTGTAGTTTGAAATACTCTCGGTTTTTTTTTAATCTTTTCTGTTTTTCGGTTAAAACCACGAACGGCGTCATTACGTTACGACGTTACCTAACTATTTCAGAGATAGATGTAATTAATGACGTAAATTACGACATCTAAAAATGATATAAGCTTCCTCTTCAATAGCTATGGACTTGCGTATTATTATTGCGTAGGCCTACTATGAGGTGAACATTAAATCAATCCGTTAGCTGTAAGTAACTGTAAATGTTCAAAAACAAAACATTTCTTTTGTAGCCTTACCCGTTTGGCTGATTTGACATACGTATCGGTAAACTCACAAGCTTGGCGCGAAAGACCAAAATCAGAAATTTTACAAACAAGATTTTCGTTGACTAAGATATTCCTTGCCGCCAAATCCCTGTGGATAATCTGGAAAAAGTAAAAAATAGGAGGAATGAATGCAACACATCTCTTGAATGAATTATTCAACTGTCAATCATGTGAAGTGTTTTCCCTAACATCAATCATTGTCTCTTTACAGATGTCAGTATTTTCATCTGTCACAAGAAAATATGTTTTACATAATCCTCTCATCGGTCACAATTAAACATTAATTTTGCATCAAAATTTGTTAGCGTTTTATTAAATGAATTACATTTTTATCGTTAAACAATACAGAAGTAGGCCTATATTCATAAATTTATTCGTTTCATTTTGACCATTCAGCATAAGTATACACTTTACACTGATCACGATTTTCATATGTGAAAAAAACACATGTTCATTATCATAAAGAACAACAGCAAACAACATTAATATTATGATATAAAAAAAATATTAACAAAGCAATTAGTACCATTAATTGCAAAAACAAAAGTAAATGCAAGTATAGATAGATGCACGTTAATATTTATGAAAATGTACATTTTAACTCGTATTACATTTGGTTTGCACTGTATACAAATTTAAATAAGTTTAATGGCATGTTGTAATAATAATAAGCTTGGCCATTTTCTTGTTCTTATGGAAACAATCAATCAAAAAGATTAGAAAAACGAAGTTCAAATTATGTTTTCATATCTGTCAAATGTCATTGCATTTATAGCATCGACTTCCGTAGAAGAAAGCTAATTCCAAATCTAGTAGGCATAACGAAAACAACGAGAAATTTATAGGCTTACAAATGGTAAAAGCGTACATTAGGTGTGAAAGGGTTTAAATTGACTGAAATAGACAGAAAACTAGAGCGGTCACTCTATAGAGTGCATACCTCCTCCATTTGCCAGAATACATAATACATTTTTTACACATAATTTGAACTCCGACCTTTCACTCATAAATGTAATTACGGTACGGTACCTTACCATTATGTACCCTCCACTCTAGTTGTATGATGGTTCATTCATTAATTTTTGTTTAATCAATATTATTGAGATTTTTTTTAATGTATGTAACCTTGACCCAAACTTAGGTATCGCTAATTTTATGATGATCCATTCATTATTCATTAGTGTTTTACATAATCCTGCTCAAACAGACAAAACAGTACGACAGACAGACAAACAGCGGTGATAATATAATCTCTTTGACGGAGGTAATAAAAGGTTTGGAGACTTTTAGGAAATACTTTCAATAACAAATTCGTGTTCAACACACGATCCTGATAGAAATTAGCTTCTTGATTGCCCACGTATGAGGAAAGAATCTTAATTCACACCTGCTATCGCTATGCGTAAATGAAACAGAAGTAGAAACGTCGATAGGTACTGCCAGGTCCTAAGGCAGATGGGACTGCGTAAGTCCTCGTTAATAATGCAATATGTCACTTCATTCAAATGATCGAATAATTTATACTAATACATGCGAAGATTACAGATGTTATGTGAATAAGATATTCCACAACAAGGAATGAAAACCAAGAAAATTACAATGGTGTGTATTCCCATTTATGTATAAGGCAAATCGTAGGACATTAAATCAGTATTATAGAACTATACATTACATACATATTAAGCCTATGACGTAGGTTTAATGCATAATACATATAGGCCTATTGTATTATGTGACAAAATATATGGCCGGGTTTTAAAATATAAAATGCAAGAGGCATGATATAGGCATAGGGCTATTGGGTGGTCCAATGTAAAGACTCATAATTCCCAGGATTACATAGGCCTACGTGTAGTCTCAAATACAACTAAATTCATTTTTGAAAATGTTTCATTTCAATTATATTTAAGTTTCAATTATAAAAGTGAAATAGGCCTAAGAATCATTATACAATAGGCCTAATTTGCAAATACATTGGTAAAATTGTACAAATAAAAGTCAACGCTCACCAACGCATTTAATGTGTCAGAGGCGGATAGAAAATCAATGAAACGCATTTATTAATGTTGTTTTAATATAAATTCGCAGATCAATTAAAAACTAACATTTGTCCACACTATCGAGTTTTAATGCAACTATTTTTTATTTTGGCTATGAACATGATGATGTCATATCACACATATGACATGGTCACATCATATCCTACCCATAGGTAGGCCTATTATACAGTAAAAGCAAATCGCAAGATGTAACATAAAAGCTTACTATAGCTATCATGTGTGTCAGTATAATCATATCGATATTCCGATTCCGATTACAATGTTGCAGAACATCATTATTTGATTTAAAATTATCAAATATACGCCTAAAATAAAATCAAACAAATTATTGTAAACGGTATACATTCTGAAACAAAGGCTGGCAAGAAGTATCCAAAGAACAAATTTATTTCCAATAAATAAAACAGGCCATGGATACCCTACAAAACTTTTTTAGGCCCATATTTAATGTAATATTTGAAAGTACTACAACACGGAAATTTGTGAATTAATCATTCCGAATAGAGAATGACACCAAATGGAAGTGCAAGTCCTCCTGGGAACATAATTTAAATCTAATGGGAAGATGGGATATTCCGGGTGTAGACTATTCACTTAATAGTGTTTGTAATGCACATAATAGAGGATAATGGGATTGGCTTCCTGATTAAGTTCCTCTTATGTCACGTGAGTGTGATTGCCTATAAAAACACTTACATTTAGTGATGAAATGTACACCATTCCTTTCGCAACTTGTAGAGCCATTTGAATTAGGTCAGGGGTTGACATTCTGGAACTTTTCTTGTGAATGTTACAATAGACTGGATCACTGGTACGGCTCGATCGCAAGTAGGATAGTAATGCACCGTTGGCGGCGTATTCTACGATTATTATTTGTGTGCCTTTAACGAAGGAAAAAATCATCCGTACGAGCACTCCAATAATTCGCAATAATAAAGTTATATTTGATAATATTTATTTGGACTTACACTTTTATATCAGTGGCGCACTTTGTAACACAAAGGTGCGTCCAAAACACAAGACAAATTAGGCCTACTAATTACAAGACACATCAAATTAAAAAAAGACAACTAAAACTTAAACCAAACTCAAAATAGTTTAAAATAATCCCTTCATTCCTCCCCTTCCTTCCCTGAACAATTCGAATTTAACGCCACCCTACTGAATAAAACTGTACTTAACTTTACCTCTTATTCTCTATAAAAAAAAATCAAAATTAAGTACCCTTTTTCCCTCTTCTCTCCCTAAACAATGCTAACATTTCCCAGTTTCATTGAAAACAATATAAATCTCCATGTTCATTCTGAATAACTAATTAACAAATAAATCACACTCATTTACTCTTGGCATTCCGCTTTCCTACATCATTCTAAATATATTCTTCATTTTCTCATAGTAAATCTTTCATTCAACGTTTGTTCCGATCCCGCCTCATATACGATATATTATCCAAGTAGTGCAATGCAAAATAATGGTTTTAGTTTATACAACTTTGTCAAGACTACGTTATTTGGTTATTTATTGTTATTTTATGCCTCTGTAGCCATTGATAGCTGAAGAAGATATCCTAATAATATATAAACTTGTAACTTTGATATGTAAATTCACAAAATCGTAAATTCCAATATTGTTGTTTCCTTCCTATTTCAGAACCTTTTGTTAATTTTTTAAATAGGGGAGTTCGGGTTTCAAAAGTCAGAATACACTGTTAAAATGTCCCGGTCGAAATGACTGCCACCATATTTTCCTTTAAATTTTTGTTTTAATCGTTAGCTTGATAATTTCATAATCCTCTACTAACAGAACTGTGTGGGCAGACACCGATAGTTTGCCGAGTGCGTATGTGATTTTCTAAAAAATATAAATACGATACCGATGGACCGACTATAATCACTAGGCCTATCTACAATAGTTGCATACCAATACGCGTGCATGCCCCAAGTAGACGGATGATGTTGGGATGAGGAGCCATCTTTTTCATCAGTGCTAATTCATTGTCAAAATCTTTCTTATCATCTTCGCCAACACCATCTGAAACGAAAGATTAAGAACTTTTAAAAATGTTATTAATTAGGTAACGAGGCAGAATGTGTAAAACGAAGGTTCGTAGACGCATTCCTCACATGTGACCTAATGTTGCCGCTGGCTTTTCGCTTGTTTTGATGAGCTCAAAACTTCCTCATTAGAAACGAGTGTACGCATCACCCCGACATATTAGCCTCTTTTTACTGCAATCTCGCCCCCTTAGGGACATGGTCAAAACCCAGCCACCCGCAAAATCAAAGGTCGCTGACCATTTGAGTGAAACGGTTATAGGCCTGCTGATCTTCCACTTGTCTAGCAAACAAAGGCTTGTAAATATTTATTTTGAAAACATTTTCTGACGGATAATTTGTATTTTTAAAGAATTCAATTACTCTACTGCAAACTTAATAAGGATACAATGTATCATTTTCATTATTGGATTGGATTCCCATGCCAGAGGGCGCGATGTATTTTTATGCCTAAAGCATTGTATGGACAGGAACGCCTGAAAGTTACATTACTAAAATAACAGCCTATAGAATATTTTCATCGATCATGTTAGAGTTTAGTAGAATAATCTATCGAAAATTTAAGATTTTCAATAGAAAATTGCCCCTTTAAATTCTATTTAACATTTATTCAAATTATGGGAGTGCAATGTTGGGGTATCTAAGGTGCCATGTTCTTAAAATTGTCGCATCTCTTATGAAGAGCATGAAGTGTCATTTTGACTTGTGAGAACAAATATGAGGCTGAGGTAAGCTATATGTATTAGGTATTGAACTTTTATTTATCAACCTAAGGCACTTGAAAAGGCATTTTTAAGATATAAAAGTACCATTACCTGCCATCCAGAGAGTAATTCTTATTAAAATATTTGTATATTAACACAAGAATTGTTGGGGCTCAAATCATCTTAAATTCTGATCCGTAGTTTATAATATATTATGCAATGAATTTAGTAAAATAATAATAATAATGATGATGATGATAATAATAATAAGCAAGAGATTCAAACCCCACCAAAGCGCCAAACAAATGTATTATTTTAAATGTATTCGAATGTATTATTCTACAGTATGTACCATGTGACAGTGATGTCGTCACTTTGTTTTATTTTAACTGGTTAAATAAATATATGTGATATGACAAAAAGATATATCATTCCAAAATGATTATAATGGATTTCGCGTACTTTAGGGTGAGTTCAAATATTTTCATTTTCACAAACGTATGTTTAAATCAATCAAACAACAATAGTAACATAAGAAAAATATTTAGAGTAAGCTAACATTAATATTCTACCCAGAGGTACGCTCCTTGGGAAGGATTATAAGGTAAAAGGGCACATACGGAATTGAGTTGAATAGAGACAAACGTAATCATTCGTTATGCACATAGATGCAATGTTCAAAGTGAATATTTGCAGTTTTATCACGGTACAGAGGGCGCTCTATTTTATAAAACGTGCACAAACATTCAGATCCAGAAAGAGAACATACTGTAGTCGCAAATAGTAGGCCTAAAGGCGAAAGAGAACAATTTGTAAATCAATAACAGTGGTGTAAGTTGTAAAATAAAAACAATAAAAACAATTAAAAAAAACCTTCGCCAAGTTCATCAAAAAATGTTTTGTTTATCTGTATATTCATCATCAAAATATCTTTATTCGGTATAAAACATGGTTTATAGTAAAATTAGAAGATGTTTCTTTAATGAGTCTGTTAACGCAATGAACACTAAAATAAATGAATCACTAAAAAATATATAACAGTCGGGATCCTATACTGTATTTCTGTAGTATAAGAACCGAGTCACCTACAAAACATGATAACATCGTCATATGGTAATTTAGCGCAAAGGTTTGCAAAACAAGAATACATTAAGAAACAACCATAGGTAGCAATTACATTAGCTTAGTTACAGTAATGATTTTTGTAGCAGCAGAAGGGAGTTCGTTTCAAAGCATTAAGTCAAGTGCCGAATTCATATTATTAAAAATTCATATTGAGTGGAACAACATTTCGTTGTTTGAGGCTCTAGTGTTTGTTAAATGCATATCATAAACTGGTTCAATTTCATTACATAATCTTTGAGGTGCAATAACATAAGCACATTTTATAACAGAAAAATCGTTCCAGTTTTCCAACTTCCAAGTGCAAAAGAGTGAATTTCACTCTAAATGAGTCAACTCAGTACGGACTCCAAAAGTATGCATTTTCTTTTAGTTTTAAGGCGTATGCGGATTTTATAAGTCCGCAATGACGATATGGCTTTTTAGTAACACTCTATACTCTACTTGAATGATAACCTTTTCAGTAGTTTTTCACTCTTTTGCAATTAGAGACAGTTTTATTACTAACCTTGCAACATTTTCACTGCAACCGTGGTAACACTCGATTTTCCGGCAATATTCTTAGCGTGAGCTTTAAAAACTTTACCAAAAGCCCCTTTGCCGAGTTCTTCCAAAAATTTAATATCTTCAATTGGATATTCGAACACATCGTCGGTAATTATCTCATATTCAACCTTAAAATAAATAATTATAAAATCATTACCAAACTCATACAAATATGACATTTCTCCCTGCTCTCCCATAAACCTATTTGGCAGATTGTATATAAATAATTATAATGTACTGTTTATATAATATATTTCAAGATGAAACGCATTGGTGTAGGTCTATCTGTTTTCTTAAATGTGTACCAAAACAGGTCCAACAAATATTGGAGTTTATTATAAGGCTATCTAAGGTGTAGGCCTAACTATGATAACACATTTTCAAAAAGAGCTGACGAATAATCACATATTCAACTAGCATCTTCAGATAAAGATATTAGGACACATGCCTGTTGAAATACCGACAAGTACAACTGGTCATCTGATTCAAGATATCCGTGAACTTCGGTCAGCTGGAAAACAAGATAACCACCTGTTTAAGTCCTAAGGATAATTGAGTTCTATTGACTCCATGTGCAAATCATAAATGTACGCCTCATTTGTGATGTCGGCTCGGCGAACAAACAATTGTGTAGTACCGTTCTCACCCTCACTGACATTACCAGCTCAGATTGCGTGAGTTATCGGGTAAATAACGCATGAAAATGACACGAGTAATATCAGAAAGCCCGGCAAGACGTTGTCAAATCCAACTCTGGTAACGGATTTGATTAACTTTCCATAGTAATTATAAAGATCAGAATGCTGATAAAAGATTTCAGCATATTTGTAAATTAGTTCGGTAAATTTAATCGATAATTATCATTGCTCAGCAAATATTATCGCAAAAATATGCTAGAGAATATGATCACCCCAACCTATATCTTATACACATTAATCATGTTAATGACATTTATCCTAACTCTATGTTCAGCTGAAATAATGATCTTCCAGCTGGCCGATTGTATTCAACAAATTCTTCCTAACATGTTCCTTTCCACTTTTAATGCTTTTTTTAAAAATTATTTTTTCATAACTAATCATACGCAATATCAATGTGTGTACCATAAGAGCGTCAGATGCAGCAGCATACAACTGATTTGTCACCGGCGACCTCATATTTCTTGCGGCTTCAACCGAATTTCTTTCCTAAAGAAAATACCACAAACGTCAAATAAGGTAACATTTTGTAAAACAAAAACGACGGTTTCAATAGCATATATAACAGAATAGCCCTATACTTGTAACAATACGGTACGGTACTAGATGAGTGATTATGTAATAACAACTTTATTATGTATACATGCGAAATTAAATAAGTCTACCGTAGGAATATTGATACCAATATTCAAACATTTTTATCTTACTGTAAAACTAATGCGGTAGGCCTGGCCTACATTAAACACGTCGAGGAAAAGGTAAATGTGTTGTTGTTCTGGAACTAAAATCTTGTTTCTAAAATTTGTAAAACCGGGTGGTTTTTCGATGACCATATTCAATTCACACACACAAGCGCAGAAAGGTAATGACTAAAATCTAACCACAATATTTACGGAAATAGCTTAGAATACCATAACACATTGTTCGAGGAAATGTATCAAATAAAAAAAATAACAATGTCTGATTTCAAATATGTTTATGTAAATAATGTTTTGCCAAAAGCACATTGTTCCCTAGAGGATTCGAGCCTACACTCTGCTAAGAATTCGGTTGTTTTTTTAACAATAAATAGCCACTAACCCTTGACTTTTTTTTCTTGTACTCGTATGCGATAAAACTAATTGCTATTAAAAATAGTATTAAGGCAATTGATCCTATTACAACAGCAATTGTTGTACTATTTTCACTTGATGATATTGCTGAAATGAAAACAAAATCCGATCATTTATAAGGCATTAGAAAGTAGACATTTGGAAAATCTACAAAATGTATTCACACGTTGTTCTTGCCTATTATTATAAACTTAGCAATAATTATAAATCAGGGGCGTGTTTAATAATAATATGTAAATTATTCGAAAAATGTATGTCAATGAATTTATTGTATTAACATTAAGGGGCCAACAACAGGTGTACAGTACAATGACACGTAAGTGATTCAAACGAGTGTCCACACGATGCTTACCTGGGGTAAAATGCGCATATTTATTTCGAAGCTCCTTCAGTGCTTAATAGAGCAAAAAATACGTGTTAACGCAATACAACCTCAAGCAACTCTACGACCCATAGTAGCGTTACTTGTATGTTTTTGTATGTAGACTGTTACTTTGGCCTTATTTTAACACGCCAAAATGTAGGCCTAAATACCGTAATGAAAATGTTCTGGTACCTGTTTCAATAGTTATAGAGGACGCAGGCGTGCTGCGTTTTCCGTTGCTAACCGATATAACGTATACAGTATATTTGCCTTCCACTGTTAAATCTGTACATGAAGCTCTCAAGAATGGATCATCGTTAACAAAAACTTTAGGATTCTCAACTTTTCCATCACTACATCGGACTTCAAAGAAATCCACTTCTCCAGCGGGCAAGTCCCACTCGCATGTTATTGAATCTTGTGTACTTGAGACCTTCCTAAGTTCGACCCTATCGGGCACTAGCATAATAACAAAATATACAAACATTACATTAAATTATTCGTATAACAAAACGAGTCTTTCTTCTGAATTTTCTCTCGTGAATAAAATAATAATAATAATAAACAATAATAATAATAATAATAATAATAATAATAATAATAATAATAATAATAATAATAATAATAATAATAATAATAACTAGACTTACTATGCCTATTTGTAAAACAGGACATAGTGTTTTTCCTCATGGCCATAATGAGAACTGATGTTGAAATTTATAAAGATTTAAAAAAAGTAATTAAAAATCATAAAGTAAAAAATACATAAAAAAGCGAAAGAAATCATGAAGAAAATTATGAAGTAGAAAAGAAAACATGAAAATCAATTCAAAGGTAATAAGACTAGACTCGACCTATGGCAGCAATGGTATTAAAGTTCTAACCATCGCACTTTAGAACCCGATACTGCGGAGGTCTGTGTATTTAGATTGCGAAATGTTATAAATTGAGAGCGAAAATAGGGAGATTTCGATCTGTGCGACACGACGCTAGAACGGAATCACTCATGCGTGACCGTCCTACTTGGCGTCCTACCTTCCCTGTATACCACGTAGAATTGGTCAAATTGCGTTCCAGAATCTACTCGACGAGATGACCTTAACGTTCTCGCATGCGCAGAAGACTGAGTGACGTCATTACTTTCTACGTCCTACCGTTGTCGTGCAATCAAAAGCTCCCTAATTGTTCATGCCTTTCACGGTAACTTTCGTTTAACCTAGCTGCAGCTAGTATGAAACGATAATAATAATAAACAGGCAAAGAATAGGCCTAATTATAACAACAAACATTATAATAGGGCGAATATAATTAATGAGTACGGCAAGGTAAAATCATTAGTTTTGATTGTTTTCTTTATTTTTATTATGCTACTTTCGAATGATGTTTTCGGTTCTTGTAAGAATTTAAAACGTAATTTCTGATTAAATAATATTGATGAAGTTGCTGCAACATTGCGTTAACGCCGTTTTCTGACATAACTTAACCAAAGCATTCTGCACGTTCGAGAATACATGATGACGTTGTTCGCTTGGTATTATCATCAAATGCAGAGTAAATTATTAGCCCTAGCCATTTTTGGTCAATATTAAGAAGACCAGGTTCTTCAGTAATGTAGCAGTATTTACAGAACAATAGCATGCAACCCAACAATGTGCACATTAACTCCTGGGTGGGTTGAATTAAGGCAGATAAAGCGCCTTGCTTAATGACACAAACGAGTAACCATCCTTAGTATCGAATTCTCCTCCAACCCTACCCTTCTCAATTCTCAAATACAACAGGAGCTATATCGCTCACCACCTGCCTCTAGGCTTCAATTTCTCAATAGGCCTACTCTATTTAAAATATTACGGTATACAATAAGGCTCAAATGGGCAATTATTATCACTATGAAAATATTAATTACATGTAGTTAGGAAAAAAGGCTGAGATGTTTCCAGTGGTAAACTGTCTTTGATGACCGTTACTGTCATACTGTACATAGAGCCTGGAGTAGGTAAATCAATACAGCTTGCTTTTGGTAGATCCAAGGAACCTACTTCAGATGGTGAAGCACGACCCTACGAATAAAATAGAACATAAGGATGATAGATGTTATATATCCTGTACTTTTTGTTATTGACAGTCCAAAGTTTCGAGATGCATTCTAAACTGAACACAGAGGGCGGCATGCTTAAAAACTCGTTTCACTTGAATGGTTGTGAAAAGTCAATGCCACTGCAATTATCAATTATGATTACATCTTTTATTATTGTTTTATCAAATGTATGAAATGGGCATGTCTTGTCAACCCATTTATCAATGTACCTGAGAACATGATATCTTATATTGGTCAACCGTACTAGCTCCAAGTGGTTCCCACGATGCGCTCACGGTCGATGTTGTGGAACCGCCTTCAATTAGTAGGAAACTCAGCCGATCTGAAATAGTGAATTGTCTTGCTTTTTAAAATTTTAATTAATAAGGAAAACCTTAATATAAAACTGCTTTCTACAGAGGCCCTCGACAATCAAAATATAACATGTTAATATAGAAAATCAAGTAAAATTCATGCTCAGAACCCATCAAATTACCATAATAAAATAGAAACTTGTATCATAAAAAAACAGATACAAAAGTACATTATTAAAGATCAAAAAGTCTTCTCAACAATAAATTCAGAATCTCAATATTTAATGAAATTAATGTAAATTGGCAATGTGGCAAGTTAAAAATTACCAAGAATGTATTTTTTTAAATTTGAATAATTTCAGACTCTTTGAGACCGACAGGAAAACCGTTCCACGAACCTGGTATTGCAGTGTCGATCTCTTTGCAATTTCATTATATGAGTTACAAGTACTGAAGTTTCATTTTATTTTAAACATATTGATTAACATGGTTTTGCTTTGATTATTTATTATATTTTATTATAGGACCCTTCAGGAAACAAACCTTGGGGTTCAGAGGGTTATTCTTTGCTCTCCTTCCCTTTTGCTTTTTCTTTCTTCTTGGTTTCCTTTTGATGTTCTGTCCTCTGGTCCTTGTTTTATCTGTTTTTTATTTTTGGTTTTCTGTTACCTTTGTATGTTATGTGTTGCCTGCTTGTCCCTGTAATCGTCTGTTGTTTCTGATTTTATGAAAGTTTTGATGTTTTTTTTTCCTTCCTTGCCTCGCCTTTTATCTTTTGATGTAATTGATTATGATGTATTATGTAATGGTGATGTTTTTTTCCCTTTGTTTCTGGTTGGTGATTTGATTTCTGTACGGAAAGGGCAATAAATAAAAACAAACAAACAAACAAACCAAAGGACAGCATAAATTGCAAAACAGAAAGTATTTTGGTGGCAGCCAAATCACAACGATATAAGCAGAAGCAAGTTGTTTCCCCCTGCTCATTGGGCCTTCAGAAGATAATGTACCGTAGTACAACAAAATATTAAAAGGTGTCTGGTGAAAACAAAAGTGCAATACCTGTTGAAATCCTAATAGTTGACATCGAACTTTGCAGTCCATTGCTATGTGTATACACTCCTAAAGTGTAAAATTTCCCCGCAACTGGCAAATCGATGCAAGACGCCCTCAGGATATTCCCACTGGCAGCAACAATTGGCCCATCATTCGGTAACAAAACTTCACCCCCTTCAACACATATTACCGTATAATAACCTGCATCCCCACGTGGAGGAGACCAACTAGCTGTCACCGAGTTAATCGTTGATGAAAATTTGTGGAGAGATACTTCAGCTGGAACTAAACATAACAGGAGAAATATAAGATGTTGATATTTTGAATCATTTATAAACTAGAAAAACGGTTTGTAAAGGTAGCAATATCAAAAAAATAATCAAGAAATATTATTTGTGTGTTCATATCAGTGCTGAAATGTGTAAACATTATTGTCACCAATATTTACAAGAAAAATTATGTTTTAAAAATTATGTTTCTCAATGAGCGAAACTTAAATTATTCGATTTGTCTTATTACATGCATATGACATGTAATGGGAGAAACCAAAATTAAACTATATAAAGCACTTGAGCACTACTTCCGGAATATATGCACCATACAAATATTAGTATCATTAATATAGTATTATTATTAAAACTTATTTTGATGTATATATTGTCCTAGTAGGCATTACATATAATAAATTAAAGGATACATGTAGTGTTCAACATACTAGCTGTAATCGTTATCGAGTCTGTTTTTCCTCGTTTCGTGCCACACACAGCAGTAACATTTATTTCTACATTTCTTCCAGGTTCAGCATTACTGCATGTCACCAAATGAACCCCGTCGAAAGACGTTTTTGATTTCTCTGGAATTCCTGAAGAACATGAAATGTCAAAATAATCTACAAATCCGCTCATTATCGTCCAGTTGGCGGTGACGCTGCTTGTATTGGAAGTTACTTCGGATAAAATAACTTCAGGTGGATCTAAACAAAAAAAATTAAGAGATGAAATTCTGCTACTTGCTAATTGATTGTCTAAAATTTAAAAAAAATATTGAACAACTAATGTTTTACTTACATGTTGTGATGGCGAGTGTCATTGTCTCTCCTCTTTTCCTTCCTCTCACTGCAGTCACACTTATGTTTACTGTTCTTCCAGACTCAATACCTGAGCAAGTAGCAGTAAAGGCATCACTAAACAACGTTCGTTGATGTACTGGCCTCCCATCTGAACAATTTACTTCAAAATAATCAGCTACGCCATCTACGATTGTCCATTCTGCACTTACACTGCTGGTGTTGGATACAGTCTCAAATAATATTACTCTTTCCGGATCTGAAATATGTATAAAAATATAAGATGAAGAGTAATGACTGTTTTTACTACCTGTATTATAGGTTACTTCGGATAAAATTAGTTCAGGTGGATCTAAACAAGAAAATATTAAGAAATGAAATTCAACTACTCACTAATTGATTGTGTATAATTTTGCTAATTTTGAATTACTAATATTTTACTTACATGTTGTGATGGTGAGTGTCATTGTCTCTCCTCTTTTCGTACCACTCACTGCAGTCACACTTATGTTTACTGTTCGTCCAGACTCAATACCTGAGCAAGTAGCAGTAAAGGCGTCACTAAACAACGTTCGTTGATGTTCTGGCCTTCCACCTGAACAATTTACTTCAAAATAATCAGCAACACCATCTATGAT